CAGCCGCCGCCCCCCCCGCTTGCGCTCGTCCCGCCGCCGCCGCCGCCTTCGCAGCAGCTGCCACTGGGAAACAACGGGCACGTGTCTGCTGTTTCTAAGCCGAAGGAGCGGAAAAAGGGCAAAGAATCGGTTGCCGTGTCTGGTGTGCCCCGCGGAAGCCTCAGTCTGCTCAGCTTCCAGGACGAGGAAGAGGGTAAGCACGCGTGAGCCGGCTTATTTTTTAGGAGCTCCTGTCTCCCTCTTTTTCCCGGGGCCTAGTGCTTCATTTCTCTCCCCCACCTCCACCCCGTATACGAGCACTTGTGCTGGTCACATTAAAGCTCGATGAACCCATTACTCAGAGGTATTAGGCTTCTCCAAATAGGCCGCCTCAATTCCTGAGTTTTTCCTTCCTGCTTATTTGAAACTCGGTCTCTTTGACAAGCTAAGTTTTTTCTTCCTTAGAAGCACTCCCGTTTAGAAAAAAGCACGATTGGTACAAGTGTTTTTCAGACTTGGCAACTTTAAGGTGTGTGGACTTCCAACTCCCAGAATTTCTCAGCCAGCATGTTGGCTGGAGAATTCTGGGACTTGAAATCCACACATCTTAAAATTGCCAAGTTTGAAAAACACTGATCTATATGGATTTTCCTTCTCCAGGCCGGTGCCTTCTAAACATGTTGAGCTCTAACTCATATCGCTCCTAATAGCATGGCTATTACACATAGTCCCCTACTTACGAACAGGTTACGTTCCAAGAGGATGTTTGTAAGTCCGTTTTGTTCGTAAGTCCAACCAAGTAAAAAGTAAAGAAAGCAGGAGGCAGGGCAGCGGTGCAGGGAGAGGAGCCCTATCTTCTGCTGCCAGTGCATCACCAGTTGAGGCAGGAGAGGGGTGGTAACAGAAGAGAGGAGAGCGAAGGATGAGCCAGTGGGGTGTAGCACACACTGTTGTCGGGCGTGGCAGGAGCCCCCCCCCACCCTCTGCCACTGCCCCCTCTCCTGCCTCATCCAGCAATGGAGCACACTGCAAACTAATCCTTTCCCTCCTCCTCCTGGCTTCCAGTTCCAACTTCCGGCCTGACTTCCAGGTCCATCTTGTTCATATGGTGAAAGTTCGCAAGTAGGGAACTGTTCAGCATATTTATGTGTTTAGCAAAATTTGGGATTTATTATGCCTCAGATTTATGAGAATTTTTTGCACATGTGTGAAAAACATATGCTTGAGATCCAAAATATCTTGATTAAATACTGCAGTTATCATTGAAGTGCCAATGGTGGGAATGGAAGAAGGATAAGAATCATATGTTATATTCTCAAAGAAGACTGAAATTTATCACAAATATTTGAGATGTTTTGGACTTCTGGGGAAGAAATGGCGAAATGAAAAGCAGGGCTGATGACAGCAGTGGAATGAAGAGTTGAAGAGTAGATCAACTCTTTGTAATTCCTGCCTGGGCAAGGAGAGGACTTGAGATTGCCCACAAGTGCTCCAGACAGTTGCTCCTTGTGAGGAGACCGTAAGACAGTGGTTTCCAGTGGGTTTAGCGCTCTGGGAGATAAGGGATTAGCCATCTTGCTCAAACCATGGTTGCCATTTTTAAGGACACTGAGTTTGCATATTTCCTTTTCTAACTTGCCTTCAGAAAGTGCTTATTAACTGCTTTTTAGCTATTAGGAACCTTTGGATCAACAAGTTTGAAAACCTTGGGTGAGTTTCCTTCAATCCTTAGTGAAAGAAGTTTTAAATACAAGTTTAAGTACTTAAAAAATATATTTTTTTTTGAATAAACAGCAAGAGGGTGATTAGAACTTTGATTTTGGAAAGATACAAACAAACCAGGTGGATTTGAAATAAGATTTTGGAATTAATTATAAGAATACTTCCCATGGGAAAATGCTTTTGTTTTGAATTCTTTTTTTAAAAAAATGGTAGAATGAGACTTTGAAGGTTAAGCACTAGAGGGAACCAAAAAGAACTAAAATTACAATTAAAGGAGAAGAACACTTAAATTTGACTTACTAATACAGAATGAAGAAAAATATTTTAACATTGGACCTGTTGAAGGATATTTTTGAACAATGGACTCAGAAGTTAATTTTAAGAGTGTCTGCTTCTATAGACAGACTGTTTTTAAAAGATGTTATAGAAGAGGAACAAGTTTTACCTGACAAGATTGAGACTGATCTGAAAGTGGATTTAAAAATGACAGGCTACAAGAATGATATGGAAAAAGATGCTACACTGAACATACAAAAGAAATCAGCTGATGTCTTAATAATTAAAAGGGATATACAAAAGACAAACAAGGGTGTGACCTGGATAATTTTCCTATATTGGATTTACAAAAGAGGCTTGTTAAAGCTTTGAAGAATGTTGTGAGAAGGGACAAAGAAAAAATTAAATGAAATCAAGTTCTAGGACATTATTTGAAGGGACTAATGATCAAGATAGTTAAAAGTAAAAGGAAAGAATATAAAGTTGGTTTATCTGATCAAGGTTAAAGTAGGTATGTTATTATCTCTAGTACTTTTGCTGATCAGGACTGAAAGAAGGCTTTAAGGATTTGTTTATAGATGAAAGATGGGATATGGGAAGAAGAGATCATTTGTTGTATTTTAAGAGAAGGTGATTACTAAAATTGTTTATACGTGATGAAGGGGGAAGTCATTTCTTTATATATTTCTTTTTCTTTATACTTATTTTTTTTCTTTTATATTTTTTCTTTTCTGCACTATTTTTTATTTTTCTTTAGTTTGTGTTAATTTTTATCTTTGCAGTTGTAACTTTTAATAAAATTACCATTACAACAAATATTTGAGATATTTTAATGTTTTATTAATATTTAATATTCTAAAAAAATCTAATATTTTAGTTATTTTATACCAGATACAGTACAGGTGGTCCTCATTTAACAATCACTCGTTCAGCGACCATTGAAAGTTATGGTGCTGAACAAGTGGTAGTTACGATCGGTCCATTTATTTATTTATCATATTTATATAGCTGCCCATCTCACACAAAGTGACTCTTTGTGGTCCTTGTACCTTGTACCATCGCAGTATCCCCACAGTCATGTGATTACGATCCAGAATGACATCACAGTGTCCCATAGTCATGTGATCATGATATGTGACCTTCCCTGCCAGCTTCCAACAAGCAAAGTCAATGGAGAGCCAGTAGGAAGTCACAGTCATGTGAGGTCCTTATTGGACCCATGCAGTCCTCGCTTAACAACAGCAACTAGCACAGTCACATTTTTGACTTACAACTGTGTTGCTTAATGATAGAGTTTCCGGTCCCAATTAGCATTGTTAAGTGAGGACTACCTGTAAAGTCCTGCAAATACAATATTGCTATAGTTTGACATATATCATTTTTAATTGCTCCTATTGCTGTTTCTTTTCTTCATCATGTGTTTTAAAGAGTGAAAAAGTTTTGATTAACCATGCTATACTAATATCTGCTAGAGCAGATAACAGTATGTACCCAACCTAACTGCTGCTGGATTGTCTGTGTTACACACTATGGAAAACTCTATGGATAATGTGCCAGTGTAGAGAATGCATTAGGTAATATAACTTTCTGTAGCAAAGATATGTGTCACAATGAAAATATAATTTATCTTTCTAGACCTATCATCTAGATAGCCAATTCAAAGATTTTTTTACTGCCATTATAACATATTTATTTCATTATATAGCATATTTGTCGACATCAGAAAGTAATATGATGCTAAATGTAAATTCAGTGGAGCAAATATTCAACTATAATATTTCACAAGCTAAAAGATAAATCACATTAAGTACTGTTGATTTATTTACAAAAAATATTTTCTCCTAAATAATTCCTGTGAATTTGTGTATGCTTATGTTCCCTGAGAAGAATTTGAAAATGAACAAATGCATAGAAAGTGTACATGTCTGCAGATAGAATACTGAAAATATGGGTGTATCTGAAGATTAGTTCTGTTAAAGATGCTCTTTGCTTTGCTTTTGTAAAGTCTGTTCAGGGCTTTTCTTTCCACTTCACTCCCTTTGTCTCATCTGCATGCACATTTTGTTCACCGTCTTTCTTCCTTCCATTCCTAATATGGCTAGCCTTTCTTCTTTCCCCATCTCTATTTTTTCCTTTTTTTTTTTTTTGCTATTTCTGCTGAAAGGAAGGGGAATGCATGTGTGTGTGTGAGAGTTTGGGTGTTTCTTTGTATGAGAGTGTTAAAATGTCTGAGAGAGAAAGGTTGGTATATATACCAGCCCTCCCCTTTTTAAAATATGGATTTTGGTATTTGTATACTGGTACACACATATACATGTGTGTCACATGCAGACATTGGGAGCAGGTAAAATCTTCACAACTGATTTCAATTGAAATTTGCAATTCTGGATTGCTACAGTGGGGAAGCTGGGCAGTAGTATACAAGTTTTAATTTTTGTTCTAATTAAATTTGTGGGAATATTAAACTCAGAGTCATATTTGATGGGGTAAAGTAGTTATATTTGGAGATTATTGTTCTTGGAATTCTAAATATTCTAAGATACAATACATTAATATCATTCTGTTTCATTTTTTTAAAAAATATATAGTTGTCAAATTTGGTATTGTTAGTTTTATGAGGAAACTTTTTTCCTGATGTTTATCTGCATTCAGACTGATTCAGTAAAATGAAAGTGGCAGATGCATTAGTTGTTGTGGCTTCAGAATTTCTTTCTGTTAAAATTAGTAATAGATATTCTGCTTCAATTTTAACAATTCAACCATTTTAATTTATTATTTTTCTTTGTTTTCTCTATTAAAGAAACTGAAGTTTTTAAAGTGAAGAAATCAAGTTACAGCAAAAAGATAGTAAAGCTGCTTAAGAAAGAATACAAAGAAGATCTTGAAAAATCAAAGACGAAAACAGAAACAAATTCTTCAGCAGATGGTAACCTTAATTATGCATTTTAAAATTTATACTTTTCCATTAAAGGTTATAGTTATTTTAATGTATTGTGCTTAAGAAGCTAACACAAATACTCTCAACATATATTTAACAATACTAACAAATGTAACATCCATAAATGTTAGAGGTGTTTCATTTTGGACTGTTCTGAATATGAAACAGGCAACATTTTAGAAATGTTTGGGCCACATAACAGCTACTTTGCATTTGGAACCATTCCAAAATGCTTGAAACATTAATATTATGCTTGGGGTGGAATATTTTGCAAAACATCAAATATACACCTATTAAATATTTTCAGTATATTTTCTCAAAGATATCAAACAATACCACCACCACCCTTTTAACTGTCAGGCATGTGCATGAGGCTGTATATGTGTACGTATACATATATGTATAGCACTCGAAATAAAACAGTGAAGTGTTTCACCTGAAGTGTTTTTTTTTTTTCTTTCTGAGTTCACTGTGTTCTCAGGAATTACTCAAAACTGCTAGAATGTTCTGGTATTCTGGCCATAGGAAACAATGGTAACTTGGTATTAGTTTCTTGCTCCCTTCCTTTTTGACCTCAGTGCCTCAAGAATAACTTGGCTGATAGTCGATGTTCACTGCTATGAGCCAATGAATGTACAGAAAAGCTGATCAGAGAGATCATTTTTTAAAATTACTCATAAGATAGAATTGTAGCAGACTGAAGTCCAGTGTTATTTGTTTATTGTATTTCTAGATTGCCCAATATTCACAGTTTTCTGGCAGTATACAGATCTGAAGAAATAATAAAAATCATATTTTTCCATTCTTCTTATCTATAACTTGTTTCTTTTACTAGCTCTCTAAATCATGGAATAAAGTAGGTTCTGTATTTGAGGACAGAACATTAACATCCATTCTGTTTTGCTGTTTTATGGAGGGGCTAGAGATTTAATAGGAGCTCCCTACAAATTGGAAACTTCCTGATTTTGTAAATTTTAGAGGTGAAAAATGGTAATTGGGGGAACTGCTTATCTCTTCATATACTTGTTTTGATTTTCCTCACCCTGAATTTGTTCTCCTGTGCTGTTTCTCTGTTCATCTTAGGATGCCATATAGGCCATATCACCCTTTGTTGTCTCAGGGACTTACAAGACAGGAGTTCGTTCATGATGTGTTAGCAGCATTTTTAAAGAACGTTATTGCTTAAAAACACCACAAATAAACAAAATTTAGAATACCAAAATATAGAAAAAAACATTTTTTAAAAAAGAAGACCAAAAATAAATGTATTACAAATTTTAAAACTATTATGGTTTAGTGTTTAAACAGTAAAGTATGTGTTGATGACATGGAATTATATTGTCCGCTTTTTCCATCGCATCAATAAAGAGCCAAATCAAGGGCTAAGAGTGCACACATTTCTTTAAACCAACCTTTGAATTCTGGTGCCTTGCTGAGAACATGTCTTTTTGTTACAGGCCAATCACAATAGAGCCAAAGTTCTTCATCAATTGATACATTCCAAATTTTAGGAATATTATTCAATGTAATAACATCTTTAAGTATTATCTCCTTTGCTAAAACCTTATTTAAAATATTAAGTATCAACCAGGAGGTATGCCTAATTCATATGTGATAGCATGCCTTTAAATATGTGTGAACAGCAACTGTACAGCTTTTTCCACCATTGGAGAAGATTTGAGGCTAAATGAGATAAAGAGAATCTTTTTTGTAATCTTTATAACATAGCATTGTTTTAAATAATAATATACTGCTATGGCTGGATAACAATAGAAAAGGTGAACACTATCATACTATCAACTGTAGTATCATATCATTTGCAGTAACAGTTTCTAGGAAGGTTTTTCTGTACTTTTAATGTGTATTAAGTGAAAAGGTTTATCATCCACACCCATTTAGAAAACAAAATTGCTTATGGGTTGGATCCATGTTCTGTTGTGCATTTGGAATCTCCCATTTGCTGTCCCACAACCTGAAGGGTGGGGAAATGGATAAATTATAAAGCAGACAGCATTTGCTCATAATTGGGCATAGGCATTTCCCCCCGTCAGAGTTCCAGTATGGAAGGTATTTCTGCCAATTAATTCATATTGTGTCACATTCTATCCAAATTAACTGGATCTCTTGACCAAACCTTTATGTAACAGACAACAGTAGAGAAATCCAGACTCTACATGGAGAGGAGGTGAAATCTTCTGTTACTGTTGTACACAAAGACCCAAACAAATCTTCAGGAGACTTGAAATATCTCATATTTGACAAAAATTTCACTTCTGTGAATACATACTTTAGATGATCACATATATACAATGTATTATGTATTGTTTTAATGTAATTAAATTTAATGTTTAAATGTAATATAATTAAATGTGTAATGTAATATGTGTAAATAACTTTGCCATAAGGAGATTTGAATTACAGAATACATTCATTTCACAGATGAACAAACTGCAGACAAAATAGGACTGTTTAAAGATATAGTTCAGGAAGATGGAGCTACAAATAGTGAACAAGGAGAAGAAGAAATGGAAGTTGAAAGTGAGAAGGAAGATGAAAAAACAAAAGCTGCAGGAGCATTTTCCAGTGCTTTGTCATCTCTGAATGTTCTGCGTCCAGGTTAGCACATTTTCCCTCATTGTTATCAGGAGGTAGATTATTCTTCCTTGCTTGACAAGTAAACATAATGTAAATAATTACAAACTAATAGGCTACTGTTAGAAAAGATGCCATCTGTTTCCAGTTCTGTTAGTATGTTTTTCTTTAGTTTTGCCCATTCTTTCTATTTTAAAAAGCCAAATATTTTCTTTCCTACTTTGGATAGATTTAGTTGTAATTCTGTACACATTAACTTGGCTGCTAGTCTCTTATTTCTGCTTTCATATTCTCTAAAAAAGTTATCACTTTCTGGACTAATACATCTTTTTTCTTGTGTAATTATTTTCTGAATGTTTTGTTTCTATTTAATGTGTGTGGTTATTTTCTTAAATCTTTTGTCTGACACTAAATTCTCTATTTTCCAATCTAATAAAGTATTATTTTCTTTATGACTGCATATTCTGCAGTATTCAGATAACTTTAGATCTTTACATATCCACAGAGTTGTAAGTAGTTATCAGTTCTCTGTTGAAAGCAGCCAGAGGGAATGGCTGCTGAGGGAGAAAGCAATGGGAGCGGAGAAGCTAACTGGCATATAGACCCTATGATTAGATATAACTGATAGCTTTTAAAATATAACTGTTTTTCCCCTCAGGAGAAATTCCAGATGCTGCTTTTATTCATGCTGCTAGGAAAAAGCGCCAAATGGCTCGTGAACTTGGTGACTTTCTTCCCCTCGACAATGATCCTGGTAAAGGGCGTCTTGTGAGAGAAGATGAAAATGATGCCAGTGATGATGAGGATGATGATGAGAAGAGAAGAATAGTTTTTTCAGTGAAAGAGAAGTCCCAGAGACAAAAGATCGCAGAGGAAATAGGTAAACTTTTAAGAAGAAGAAAAAAATAAATGAAGTTACAATTCAGATATTCACTATGAATATTTAAAGCATTTGACATGAAAGTCAGATATGATGCTGACCCATACAAGTAGGCAGAAAGAAACACTCTTGCCCTTCCCAACTCCAAAAGCCTTCTCCTGGAGGTAATGTATTTCTGAATGGGTCATTTTATACCCAGGGATTTGATGAGGCTGGGAGGGGTCACCAAAAATTGATTGAAGTTTCCAGCTGTACAGCAGATCATATTTGGCAATACATCTGAATCAGACAATGAATTCAAGTAGAACTAGATTTTGGGCTTCTGTTTTCTAATTATGGTTTGTTGTATGGCTTCCTCCTGCACAATTTACATGTCAGCCTGTGTTAGACCCAGATGTGAGAAACATTTCCTCTGGCAACTGGGAGGGAGTTGGATTATCTGTAGATAAGCCTCAAAGAATCAGGCTATTAGGGAAGTTTTAGTCTTTCCCCTTGAGCAGTTACCCTTCCCATCCTCCCTAAATTTGTATGACAGATCTTAGGAGACACTAATGATTATGGTTTATTACATGGAATCAATTTCAGGTGTTCGGTAGACTAAAAGACAGACATCATATTGGTTTGCAGAATTACATTGGATATGTATAGGCAACTCTTTGGATCCTGTCACAAATGAATTTATGACAGGACACTACAGTTAATAATCCCATTTCAATCTTTTGCTGTGCTGGTTGTGAAATAAGACACTTATAATCTGCACTAGCTACTGGGGCATCCTGAACAAGACAGGTCAGAAAATTAGTGACTGAATTGAAATATGGGGTATATATTAATGATGAGGGCAAGCTAATAGTGAAACATACATTGTTAAGGGTGAACAGTCTGTTCTTGGTTTCTGTGACCATCACTATAAAAACAGCTTTAATTCCCTTATGCTTGTGCATTAAATTGTGATTTAAAAATCCTCAAAAAATGCCTGTTTTGATCCATTTTAATGTTAAAAACTGCATTATAGCATTGGAAAAATTGGAATTGTGGTAGGTAGCTGAATTCCATTTCATCAGGTTACTTCATATCAAATTCAGAAAGGTATTTAAGTCAGTGTTTTGTACAGTGTAGGATATAAGCGAAAGCTGTAGAACAGGAATCCTCAAGCTTTTGGTGGGTATCTTTGAATTTTTTAGAACATCTTGTGGGTACTCCTGGGGACTTGTTTACACAAGGATTGCTAGATGAGAGAGAATTAGTAATAAAGGACAGATTCACCAAAATGCAACCTATCACCCCTCCCCACAGGATGTTCTTTTCCATCCCTGCTTATCCTTGCCCTTTCTTAGATAGGTATGCATAGTTCTAAACAAAAGGACTGCATTTGCCCATCATTTTTATCTCAAAGAAAGCTTATGGGAGGTATTTAAAAAATAATAATTCAGATGGAGCAGGAAGCCAAATGTGCCCCTGAGTAGATGTCTAGAGGCACAATAGCACATGTAGACACCAGGTCAGTGGAATCTCTTCTTAATATTTCTCACTGAAAGAGAATTGTACACTGCTTTATTCACTGAGACAATAAAGCTTCCATATTTAATTCTGATATTCATACTAGTCTATATTCTTATATTTTACTTTACCTTTGTGTTTAGGTATTGAGGGAAGTGATGATGAAGCTCTCATTGCTGGAGAACAGGATGAAGAACTAAGCCGGTGGGAGCAGGAACAGATACGGAAAGGCATTAATATACCTCAGGCATGTATTCAAATATCTTTAGATTTGGAGCAACAGTTGGTAGCTTTTTGGTCCAACCTATTGCCACGTACTCCCAGTTGCCAGAGCAAAAGAGAATTGTGAATGAACATCTGTGGCAGAGGGATTTTGCCCTTGAAAATTTAGGATATACAGTGGTACCTCGGTTCACGAACTTAATTCGTTCCGCGACTCTGGTCGCGACCCGAATCAAATTTTCCCATAAGGTTCAATGTAAATACGGTTAATCTGTTCTGACCCCTCCGAATTTGGTCGCCAACCGATTTTGGTTGCGACCTGAATCAAATTTTCCCATAAGGTTCAATGTAAATACGGTTAATCTGTTCTGACCCCTCCGAATTTGGTCGCCAACCGATTTTGGTTGCGACCTGAATCAAATTTTCCCATAAGGTTCAATGTAAATACGGTTAATCTGTTCTGACCCCTCCGAATTTGGTCGCCAACCGATTTTGGTTGCGACCTGAATCAAATTTTCCCATAAGGTTCAATGTAAATACGGTTAATCTGTTCTGACCCCTCCGAATTTGGTCGCCAACCGATTTTGGTTGCGACCTGAATCAAATTTTCCCATAAGGTTCAGTGTAATGATGGTTAATCTGTTCTGACCCCTCCGAATTTGATCGCCAACCGATTTTGGTCGCGACCTGAATCAAATTTTCCCATAAGGTTCAATGTAAATATGGTTAATCTGTTCTGACCCCTCCGAATTTGATCGCCAACCGATTTTGGTCGCGACCTGAATCAAATTTTCCCATAAGGTTCAATGTAAATA